GGAAGCCAGGGATCGGGGAATACGGAGTTTAATGCCAAAACACAGAGCACGCAACAACACAACATCACAACGTCAATGACCGGACTGGGGATACAAACGGAAACGCGGACTAAATACACTGAACTAATGACAACAATCCGAAACAGCTGTAAAACACTGGGATTCCACATGAGGTTAACGAGGGGGCGTGGCACACAGTAGGATCGGACGGAGCGGGGCATGACAAAACTGCTCAAGCTGTCTCAGGTTTGAAGGATGGCATCTCCACACTGCAATTTTCAGATCTTTCCATAGATGATCAATAGGATTAATATCTGGGTGTCATGGATAGCACTGAGGAATCCCCATCGTCGTCACAGCCACGCCCCTCCGGGGGTTCCGATCGATAGGGCTTCCCTGAGGTTCCACATCCTGTCAACCAGATCCGGACATTACTCTCTCAGCTGTGTCTTGTTTTCCCTGGTTTCGGTTTTCCCTATATTAGGCAACTCAGCTCTCCGATCGGTGCAAGATCTTCATGGTGTGCCATTGAGTTCGAGCGTTTTCCCCGGTATGTGTTTATCTGTGTTCTGACCTCTGCTATGTTTCCTAGACTCCGAGCTTCTGCCTGCCCCCCTTCTGGACCGACGGCAATCGCCCGACCTCTGCCTGGATTGCCGACCATGTTTTTTGCCTCTCCCTCATCTGTACCGAACGCCGATCACCCAACCTCCCCGCCTGAGTTTCAGCTACGGTTTCAGGCTAAGCCCCGGGTACCGCTGACTTCTCTGTGGAGAGTATTAATAAAACAGCAAGACTTACAGCAGTGCCACGTCAGTGTCCATCTTCTTACAATCTCAACAGAAGATCTCGCCGCTAAGATGGACCCAGCGGATCAGGACGGAGTCCAGCGTGTTACGGAAGCCCTGGGTAAACAGGGGTTTATCCTGGGACAGCATCAGTCCGAATTATCGGCCATCGGGGAGTCCCTGGAGACGTTCCACGCAGGCTTGACGGGATTAGCCTCCCAGGTCCTGCAACTCCATTCTAGTGCCCTCGCCGCTTCGGTAAGCTGATCGACGAATGAACCTCGCTTATCACCCCCCAG